AAAGAAAAGAAAAGAAGAAAAGAAAAGAAAAGAAAACGCTGACCTTTGCCAAAAATCAAAATCAGTTCCAAAAGTCCCCTGGCTCCAAGTCTGACTCAGGAACAACATCTTAAGGACCTCCCACTACTTCGCTGCCCATGTGGGTACTTCAGAGCCACCTGAACTCAGCACACCTCATTCCCTTCCCCACAGCAGTGAACCCTCTGCAAGCCGACATCCTTCCCAAGCCACTAGCTTCAAAAGCCATTAGCAAAGAACAGACACCAAGCTGAGCCGGTTCTCAAGCCTGTGACACGGAGAGGCATGACCCCACTGCCTGCAGGCGGGCCCAATGCTTACTCCAGCATGTGGGCTGTCCCTAACTGGGACACTCAGCCTGCTGGTGCCAAGTGAAATCCCCCTTTCAATTTCCACTTGAAAAATCTCACTAAAAGGCCAGGCGTGGTGGCACACACTTGTAATCCAAGCACTCTGGGAAGCTGAGGTGCATGGATCACCTGAGTTCAGGAGTTTGAGACCAGCCTAGCCAACATGGTGAAACCCCATCTGTACTAAAAATACAAAAATTAGCCAGATGTGGTGGTGGGTGCCTGTAATCCCAGCTACTCTGGAGGCTGAGGCAGGAGAATCACTTAAACCTGGGAGGTGGAAGTTGAAGTGAGCCAAGATCGTGCCTCCAGCCTGAGCAACAGAGACACAGTCTCAAAAGAAAAAAAAAATGCAAAAATCCCAGCAAATCTATCAACCCTCTTCCTACTATTTTGAAACCAGCTTCCTTTTCTGTGGTTGTGTGGGTTTGGCTGGGAAGAGGGTGTGGTGTGCATAAAAAAAACACCATACTGTAAATTGTGTGTGAATCCTCAGTGACACAATGCAAAGGAAAGGAGTATCTCAAATGAATGTGGCCAAACTGAGTCCACTGCCTTTCCTCCTAAAACCACCTTCTTCCCCGACCCCTCCCGAATGTTCCTCACAATGAACCATGTCATAGCCCCCCGTCACCGCCTAAAACCCGACCATCATCCCAGCACCCTCTCTCTCCCATGCCCTCATGTCTGATCAGTGCTACCTCCTAAATCTTTCTTACTTTTTTTTAATGAGATGAAGCCTCACTCTGTCGCCCAAGCTGGAGTGCACTGGTATGATCTTGGCTCACCGCAACCTCCGCCTCCTGGGTTCAAGTGATTCTCCTGTCTCAGCCTCCTGAGTACCTGGGATTGCAAGCATGTACCACCACACTCAGCTAATTTTTGTATTTTTAGTAGAGACAGGGTTTCACCATGTTGCCCAGACTGGTCTTGAATTCCTGACCTCAAGTTATCCACCCACCTTGTCCTCCCAAAGTGCTGAGATCTTTCTTCTTTCTTAAGAGATGGGGTCTTGTTCTGTCACTCAGGCTGGAGTTCAGGGGCACAATCATGGCTCACTGCAGCCTCAAATTCCTGGGCTCAAGCGATCCTCCTACCTCAGCCTCTGAGTAACTGCAACTATAGGTGTGTGTCACAATGCCAAGCTATTTTTTTTCTTTAATTTTTGTGTAAATAAGATCTCACTATGTTGTCCTGGCCTCACGCGATCCTCCCACCTCTCTGACCTCCCAAAAGTGCTGGGATTCCAGGCTTGAGCCACCACAGCTGGCCAGTCACCTACATTCTAAAGATAGCCACAGACAAGTAACCCAATCCAACCTTCACAGACATGCCAGCCACAACCCTACTACCTCTTCCCGATTCGGTAAGACTAGGGGCAAAGGCAAGTTACAGGAATATGCACATGTCAAAATGGACCACATCGGGCCCTTTTAAATATGTGCAGTTCATCATGTCAATTACACCTTATTAAAGCTGCAGAAATGAGGGGGTGGTGATGATGAGTTACCAGCAGTGTAGGGTTTGCAGAGAAGAAACTAATCGCTCTGCACCCTGCAAAGCCACGAAGGGGTCCTCCAAGAGCAAGGAGGCATTCTAATCAAGATAAGACTTGATTCAGATTTGAGGCTGGGACATCAAACGGCCCTGACTTATGCTAGACTGACTGCCTTTACTTCCTTTATTTAACTTATCGTATACCTGTTGAGCTGAAATTCACAGTGCTGTTATTTCAGTGGAAGAAGGGAATGTCTTTGGGAGCCAGACACGCATACCCTGGATCTGGGAACATGTCTGACCTCAGGCAGGAGTCCCTGCCTTATCACACAGGATCATTCTGGGGTTCTAGTGAAGGAATGTGGGCATGTGGGGCAGGGGACGGGTCATGGGCTTTCCTCTACACCCTCACTGCCTTCTCACCTCATCCAGGATTATTTGAAAGGAGACTCCAGATGTCACATCATTTCACCTGTAAATATTTTGTTCTGTATGTCTAAAAGATAGGGATCTGTACTTTATTTTTATTTTTTTAGAGACAGGGTCTCTATGTTGCCCAGGCTGGAGTGCAGTGGCTATTCACAGGCGCGATCCCACTACTGATCAGCATGGGAGTTTTGACCTGCCCCATTTCCAACCTGGACCGGTTCACCCCTCCTTAGGCAACCTAGTAGTCCCCCGCTCCCAGGAGGTCATCATATTGACACTGAAATTAGTGCGGACACCCAATCGGCATAGCACACAACAGCCCAAAACTCCTGGACTCAGGCGATCCTCCCACCCCAGCCTCCCAAGTAGCTGGGACTACAGGCATGCACCACCATGCCTGGCGGGACTTGCACCGTTTAATAATAACTATAATAATGTTATTATTGGCCGGGCGCGGTGGCTCAAGCTTGTAATCCCAGCACTTTGGGAGGCCGAGGCGGGTGGATCACGAGGTCAAGAGATCGAGACCATCCTGGTCAACAAGGTGAAACCCCGTCTCTACTAAAAGTACAAAAAATTAGCTGGGCATGGTGGTGCGTGCCTGTAATCCCAGCTACTCAGGAGGCTGAGGCAGGAGAATTGCCTGAACCCAGGAGGCGGAGGTTGC